ATTAGCCTGTAGATAAATCGCCGTAGACGAGCTTGTTCGCTGTGTTCCTAAAACCATGTTATACGCAAAATGACTGGCGTAAGGTGAGATCATCGCTCTTGTAACAATGAAGTCAGATGACATGGGTAAGCAATAGGTCCCCATTGTTTAAGCAAACCGATTTCACTATACCGTCGGAGTTGGTTGAGTTAAATCATACGACCGCTCAGAGATCTATTCTATCGTGCTTTATTCACAGACAATCAAAGTCAGTTGTATTATGGGAATAGCTTACAAGCTGGTGCTTCTCTTGTCCCATAGGATGTTTACACAGATGAATCGTTACACATCAAAAAAGCAGTCACATAGGAGATAGAGAATGTAGGCTACAGTGAATTTCCGTTTGCCTTTAGTGTACGAATGTGAGGTGTGCCAAGATTTTGTCGAGTCTCTGCTTGAAAGATTCAATAGTGGGTGCACAATGAACCGCATAGAAAGAATCAGTAATGTAAGAAAATCATAATGAAGTGTGGAGGGATAAAGGAGCTGCATCCGGATCTGACTTCCGGTGGAGCATCACTACCTTCAAGTAGAGATACCTGAGGTACATTTATTATTGTTGATTACAGATACATGGGAGAATAGCATTGAATCGAATTTCCTGTGGAGATCGCATTTTCAAGTGTTTGTGATTCTTATCCCGATATATGCCAAAAAGGTAAAAACATCAAAATGACGTGCTACCAACAAGCGATTAATTAAACACCTAGATCTCATAATCCAGTTACCCAGGCAAATCAAGAGGCAAAAAAATTCGAGAGCAGTCCTTTGGTGTAATCTTATCAGTCGCGTATAACACCTTCGGTTTTGAGCGTATGTCTGTGCGGAGTCAGTGACTGAGAACTTTCCCACTGTCTAATTTCCGGTAATAAGTTTCCTGAATTCGAAAGTTCAGTCATGAGTGCAGTACACGCTTCCTCGTTAATAATAATATTAATCATTCAAAGGAAACAGTTCGATAGAAAACCCTATGGACGAACTAAATTAGCGACTATCCACGTCGGCTTCTAATTTAGGCATTATAGCTGTGAATTGATCGCTCGTGCATTTCTGACTGCCAGTTTGGGTTTCAGCCACAGGTCAGCTTTCAAAGCCTTGTTATATTGTCAAAGGCTTGTGGTGCAGTTCGGAATAGGTGAAGTCACAAACGGTCGTATGAAGGTAAGAATAGCACTGAATAAGTTTTTCGTCTTTATTGGAACTTATCAGCAGTGCTTAGAGTTCTTCCTGGGATTTGAACCGCGAATCTGCGGGTTGTGAGTTGAAACCCTTGCCAACAAGCCACACGACAGATGACCGACGCTTGAAAGCATGATGATGGAAGTCATATCGAAATATTGGAATTAAATGAATTCAAAAGAATGCCACCCGTCAAGAACACCAATAGACAGATCCTTTGTATGTGAACTCACAAGGAACAAAAACAGGAATATGCTCACGAAATGATTCAAATCAGAAGTGAGCAACCCTGAGTGACTTTAGTGAATCTGCGCTATCCACGTAGTACCAGCGGCAAACATGAAACGTTAGCGGTAATTCACCAAACTCCTGTGCGTCATGTCACCTACAAGTGAGCTGCTGAAGTCATCTAAGTGCATATTGTTCACAGACTAATCAAAAATATTGGTGTTTTCAGAAAACAGTGGCACAAAATGATATATTGCTCCTATTATTTTTTTCCTCTTTCTCTGTAAAATCGATCCATGAATGGAAATTCACGTACACGCCCTCCCTCTCATCTGCATTCATCAATAGGATTAATAAATTGTCAAAGTTTAGAGCAACTAAATCTTGCAAACAACAACCTAACTACTGTGGCTCTGTTGGGTCTAAGACCGGACCGGTTGACGTATGAATCGATTGAGGTTTTGGATCATCTAACCAATGCATCGCTCGACAAACAGGAACATCTTATTCGTCGAGCTCATCCAGTCTTGCTTGGTCTTCGAAGCCTTCGTTCTCTGATACTTTCTGGCAATCCTAGAATATTCGCGTCGATAAATTTGACGTTGGACGGCAAGCATTGGGTTCGTGCGCGGCAACGAAATGAAAACACGGAATTGTTACATTCCATCCCCGATTCCGATCATCTCACTCGGCAAGGCATCTTTCCATTGACTTTGAATGAGTTACATCTCGCATACTGTTCCATCACTCAAATGGCCGGACTGACTACGCTGCCCGTTTTGCATACCATAAACCTGGCTCATAATCACATTGTCGATATGGCCAGTTTGAGGTGAGTGATTCGTTCGATTCACGACTTGAGTACATACACGTTTTAATTTAGCATGCTCCGGTTCAGTTCAATGCTTCGGACATTGAATCTGATGGAAAACCCGATCACGGAACAGAACAATTATCGATCTCATCTAATCTGTTTGTTTCCTCATCTGACGACCCTGGATGAACGTCCAGTGGATGTGAAGGAAAAAGTGGGTGATTTGGCACACAGTTTTCCGCTTTTCTCATGGATCCGTCAAAAGTGATCATTTATTCGGATAACGTTTCATTGACATTTCAAACGAAAAACTACGTTAGAAAAAACCTATGGGTGTCACTTGTTATTGAAAGATCTCATAAAGCACTCCACAGATGTTTCATACCTGTTAGAAATCATTGAGTCCATATCCAACAAATCTTTCGAGATTCGGATCAGGCCAAAAGAGATAGCTACTCCGACAGATACACCATTTTGGTTATCCGGAATAACTTTCAGTAGTTTAGTGCTGGTCAATACGACAATATGGCTCTCATTCATCATTTCAGTGAACAGTAACAGACGACCATACATGTAAAGTTGCAGTAACAAAAATTAAACAAATGTAGAATGTTTTTCAAGATTTTTCAATGGTAAACGACGCATTGGCTCCGTACAACGAACGCAGTTACAAGTCGTTTTGTTGTTTGTGTAATGTTATCTAAATATAACTGGTAAGTGTAAAAGCAAGAAGGATGTCGGGGGATCCACAAGCATATATATGTATATATGTAGTTACATGCATTGCGTCAATGCAATAAAAAGAGAGGTCATTGAGTACAAATGAGGATGTCGAAGCGAGGCAGTTCCCAGCGAACATCAATATTAGTTTTACTAGCTTTCACGTACACACTTAAATGTTTTTTTGCCTGTGTTTGTTTTTGTCTAATGTGCTATGGGATTTTGAAAGTTTGTATAACATTTGCGTCCCTAATTTATTTTAAGACCTCTATCTCTCAACGTCTCCAATCGCCGACAGTCTTCATCCCTTTGGTCTCAACTTTTGAGGCGAGCAGCATAAACCAAAGGTATTGCTCAAATTAACTTCTTCGTATCCCAAGTCATGTTCAGACTGCTGCCTTGTTTTTTTAGTCTTGTTCAGCGTGTACGAAGAGCTCATTCCTGGAACCAACCACCAAACATGAACAATGCTTCGAAGATATCGGTCGATGAATACATAAATACGGTTAGCATCCTCAGCACCGTTCTCTTAAGAGGAAATCGGATATCCTGGAGGCGCCACAGGTGCCACAAGTTTACGAAGGTTGCTCTCGTTTCTCCTACTCATGATGTGATCTCCTACTCAACAGCGCCGGTAACTGCAAGCGAACCCCAAGGAGCTTAGAGCTTTGAACCATCTCTAACAGATCATCACAAAGTGTATACGAACACAGGCTCCTACCAGTCTCGTAACTGCACTTTGTATGTGACTGGTGCAAATACCAAATATTCTATTTGCTGATAGGAGTGATAAAACCCGAAAACAGGCATAGGGCAGAGTGAAACAAAAATCCTAGGAAGTGATTTCTACTGTGATAGCGAGCTCAGCAGAGAAAAAGCTGATGGTTTTGGACGCATTGACCCATGCAATGCAAATGGGAAGGAAATTACAGAACGAAAATACATGGCAGTGTTTCGATCTAGAAAGATTGGTGTTCTAATTAAGAGCTATGGTGAAAATATCACAATGCCGAAAATTAAGTCGGAATTTGGTTTTGAGAGCCTTAAACGACAAATGGGACTACGGTTGTTTAGTGAGTAGGCATTA